CAGCGAGATGGATTATGTCCCGCTTCACAGTGGCGGGCACAAACAGACGAACCATTTGCAACGTTGCCAGTTCCGATTTGCAGTAAATCCACGGCTTTCACGGCTAACCTCAATAAATGATGAATGAAAATGGTAAAAAACTCCGGAATCTAGATATTATGTTTTTTTGCTATGTAAATCGGATTTTGATGAAACATTGACAGTAACTAATGAGCCAAAGAAGAAAGAACCGAGATATATAATGTTATTAGGTTTTTATTTTATCCTATTCTGGGAAGTATCTTTGCCGTCACCAAAAAAATAATATTCGGTTTCTGTTTTTTACGTAATCTTATTCAAAAAGGACCTCTTCTAACAAATCTGCATGTTGCTCGACTAAAAACTGTGTCAAAAATGGTTTAAGTTTTAAGAATTGTTTTTTCGCTCCGGATAAAGTTTGGTTAGATTTATTATTATAGATAAAAAGATTCTAATGAACTTTTCTCTAAGGTTTATATTTTCCGAAGTATAAGCGATTTAGTATTTGAAAATACAAAAACGCCATTTAAGACCACAACAGAGAAAAGCATATTGATTCCATTAAAGTAATAAAATTTTTGATATGGATTGTTTGATAGGTGAACGTTGATCTATTCAAAATAAAAGAAATTGAGTATACAATTATTTGTATTGAGTTCTACCGAGTTATATTTAGTGCAATCAGTGTTTTTGTTCCGAAAAGTAAATCATTCATATTATAGAAATAATTATAGGAAATTTGCATATCTTAAGTTTCTTGGATCTGTTAATAGTGGGCAGATATTGATATGTACGTTGTTTACAGAGAACTCACAATTCTCTTAGATGTTGAAGATTGTTTATGTTGTCAACTGTAAACGTAAAACGGAAGAGTGCTGAGTTATTGGTTGTGTATTGGGATCACTCTGTCTATCTAAATGTCTATATATGTTAGTGATCGTGTATATTCTAATTAATTCAACTTAATTTACACATTTCACATTATACTCGTATTTATTAACTGCTAGAAATCTGGTATGGAAAAATACAACCCTTTCAAGACTTTTTTTTCTATATTTATTTATCTGATGCTAATCATCATTTGCATGTTACTGGGTAGATTTTTAAGTAAATGGTGATTACTCGTGTGATTATAGTGTGGCGTATTTTTATCTATACTTTTGCATAATGTAGTTTTTTTAATCTACTCAACCGTAATCTTGAAATGTTTGATTGATATTTTTACGTTAAAATATAGCAATCATGCGTAAATTCCATCATCCCGAATTTCAGCTCCCTAACTTAAGCCGTTCGAAAAATAAGTAAGGAGAACCTTTCTGAAAACCACTGTATGAAATTAACAATTGATTTTTCAGATTAATTTGTATAAAAAGATGGATCGAATAGACAACTACAGGATAAGTTTTAGAAATTACGTTATATGATCCATTGTCCATCCATATACTTTCATTATTGAGATACCCTGTATAAGTTGGCGTCATTTCTCGATCATGTGTCAAAGCGATGTATATTCGACGTATGACTATAAAAGAAATTGTACTACTATTCGTCATTATTCGTCAGAGCGGTCCGGTGGACCTTTGCTCTTAGTTAAAAGTCTCGTCGGTCTGTTAGTCAGTCAGGTCTGGCTACCCAGATACCAAACATATTTAAGGAGAAAAGGGAAAGAAGGAAAGAAAGGAAGGAAGAAATAGAGTAAAGAAAAAAGTAAATCATTTAAAATAGCTTAAGAATTATTGCTTTGACTACTCGAATTATTTTGTAGCTCCAAAAATAATTCTGATCGGTTTTGTATACTGAAATAATTTTGGCTGGTCTGAATTTACAATTTAATTTTGATCGCAGTGCGAGGCGCGGCCTGGAATGTTTAATAACTTGCTCGACTGTGTAGTCTACTGAATCACGCAACAGAGGCTTGCTGTGCGATTCGGCTTGATTATAACGCCGCTGCGCCTGTTGTTTTACATAATCCTTTAGATATGGGATATCAAGATCTCTGTGAATGGTCTCATTTGACACGTACCAAGGGGCGTTAGTAATTGTGCGTAGGGTTCTGTTTTGCAGGACTTGCAGTCTCTGCATGTGCGTCTTGGCAAGAAAACAGCATGCCGCGCATGCGTAGGTGATTGCGGGTCTTATGACCATTTTATACAACCGAATCTTGTCGATTAAACTTAATTTTGAATTTCTGCACAACAATGGATAAAAGCTGCCTAAAGGTAATTTGGAATTCTGTTTTCAAAATGTCAGTATGTTTCACTCAGGTCAACCCCTTGTCAATGATCACTCCAAGATACCTGACAGATTGCTCCCATGGTATACGAGTTCCATTCACTGATATCTCTGAGGGTGCACCGCGATGTTTTTTAGTACAACAGATTGCCTGCGTATTAATTTTGATGAACCACCGATCCGCCCACTCCAATACTTCCTCCACCGCACTCTGCAGCCTGTCGTGAACCAGGTTACCAGAACAAGACTGGGCCAGCAGTGCAGTATCGTCAGCATATAGATAGACTTCACAGTTGCTGGGCAAGGGACGTCATGTATATAACGTGAATAAAGGATTGGTCCTAAGACCGAACCCTGAGGAACACCGGCTCTTACGGGCCGTGTTGTTGACAACACATTGTCAATTTTGATCCGAAACTTTCTTCCTTCTAGAAAATATTTCAACAGTTTTAGTAGCCAAAATGGAAAACCCTTTTGGATGAGCTTATACAAGAGGCCCATGTGCCACACCTTGTCAAATGCCTTTGATATATCTAAAAGCAAGATACCAATATTTTTGTTCAGGGTGAACTCCCTGGTTACATGCTCCACCAGTCTAACTACCTGTAGCTCCGTACTATGCTCAAACCGAAAGCTGAATTTCATGTCAGCAATCGCATGGTGATCTGACGAGAAATTCTCAAGGTGACGATAAATCACCTTTTCAGCGAGCTTAGAAGGAACTAACAGCAGACTTCTTCTTCCACGCCTTAGGAAAGTAATGAGTTCTGAGCATTGCATTGATTATTGCGACCAGATAGATCAAAGCCTTGAGCGAAAGCAACTTCAGTGCTTTGTTGGTGATTTGATCCTCTCCAGGTGCTTTACGCACCTTTAAGTCCTTAATGTGGCCTTGGAGCTCTGCTGGTGTGCAAAACGGAATCTCAGAGGATTCCGTTGATGTACTATGCTGAGATTCATCTAAAGAGTCTTCCGCAGAAGAATCTTCTGAAAAAAGTCACCGATGTTAGTACTAACGTTGATATCGCCATTCGCTCTGAAATATCTCCTGACAGATCTTACAATTTGTCGTTCCTCGTCAAGGTCATTGTCCAGATCATAACCGGGAAAGAACTGCCTTTCCATGACGTCAGCAAAAACTTCCTCTTTATCCTCAGTCTTGAAAACGATGCCTCCAGGACCATGAATATGTGGTAGTTGTTCTTGCCTTCCGTTTCTGAGCGATTTTGCCACTTTCCAGAGATTAATACTTGATTCAAGAATCCCCGCCAGAAAGTCGCTCCACCGCTCATTGCGGAATTCATGGAGTGCATTTCTCACTTCATGCACGAGATTCGTGGCTCTACGGATGTCATCAGGATGACAATACCTTTTTGCTTGCTTAATTGCAGCCCTCTTTTAAGAAATTTTCTGACGAATGTCAGCAGGGAGAAAAGGTCTGCCATGTCGCTGCACCGGAAGCACAGCAGCACGCTGTAGAGTTTGGTGAACGAAACTTGTCTACTCCGATTGAGCAGCATCAATTCCGTTCTCATCATGTATGACCGGGACGCTGGGAAACTCTTTGAGAAATGACTTGTATGGTTCCCAGTCAACCCTTTTCCTTAGAGGAGTTTCCTCCTCCACGAAATGCCCATTACCTACCTCCAGAACAAGAGGTCACTAGAGGTGTCATACAAGATCCTAGAAGCAATACTGAACCTACACTTTTTAGACATTGCAAAGCCTATAACATCCGGTGCCTGAAGGTAATTGAAAGGATGGTTTGTCGGCTCTTCGGTGCTGTGAATAAGATACCCGTTTCGTATCAAGTGGTTGTAAAGCCGAACCCCACAAGTAGAGTTAAGCCTTGAGTGCCATGATCGGTGTTTCCAGTTGTAGTCCCCTGCCGCAATAAGAGGGCCCGAACAGTCCAGAAGGACTTCCAAGTCCTCCTCTCGCAGCCTGGCACGGCACCTGACATACGCTTCAATGCTTTGCATCTCAGCGTTTGTGCTTCTGTGATAGCCAATACCACGTTTAACAAGCACAGCCAAGCCACCACCCCTACCATTCAATTTGTCAGCGCGTATAACATCATAATTCAAGAAAGCTAAGCGATCTCCCGGATTAAGTAGTTTCCTGCAGCAGAGCTTACGTCTATACTCTCATCCAATAGAGTTTGATGAAATTCCCGTTTTCTGGGAATATCCCTTAGGCCCAGACAATTCCAAAAAAGAATTTTGATAAATGCAGGTTGTCTATTGTACTTAGCCATTCAATGGCTGCGGAAAGATCGCCTGCAATGCCTGAGTGGCGTTACTCAGGGGACTATTATTTGTTGGAGGGACCCAAGCGCAGTTGCTAGGTCCACATTATGCGTGTTCAAACTGGGTTGAACAGAGGGGGCATTCGAAGATGTTGAGACGGCTGCTTCCGCGTATGACTTGCTGCGTCTTTGCGCTATGACTTCCAGATTTCGCCGGAGGGGGTGAATCTGCGAGACCGTTAGCGGGATGCGCCCCTCCACAGTTCGCACACCTTCGCTCCTCTTGTCCTGTGAGGGGGCATAAATGTGTCAAGTGGTCGAAAGCACATTTCAAACATTTGGGAGGTGCTATGCAGTAAGACTGCGCATGACCATACCTTTGGCAGCGGTGACACTGCAAAATAAGTCTAGAGTTCTTTTGAACTTCAACTCTGATTGCTAGACCCAGCAGCTCATGTTCATTGAACAGTTGCTGGGACTTTTCAATCTTGGGCAGTATCACGACCACCAATGGGTGCGCCGCCACTGCGTTTGAGTCGGATAATGTGGAGAGGAGTATATCCCCTCTGTCCTAATTCCCCTTTGATCTCCTGTTCCGAAAACATTGCGGGTATACCTCTGACTACCGCGTGAATATTTCGTCCTGCAGGAGCAGGGAACGTATGATGGGGCACGTCCTCTTCCCTGAACAGGCGAACGATCCTGCGGTAGTCATCCTCAGTTTTCGGCAAAATCCTGATGCCCGCATCAACGGCAACTGCGCGTTCAATCTTAATGACTAAGCTTATAAAGGTGTAGTTTAGGTTTCGCCACTTGGTCGCATCACGCAAAACAACGGGCGTGATTCGCCCCTGGCGGGGTGCTGTGCTGGTCAACTCACCAGCAACATGAGATTGTTGACAAGTGCCAGAAGAAGTTGATACGTTTAATGAAGCAGACGGTTTTGAGGGGACCGTCAACTTGAATTTGGATTTTGCTTTTGGAAGAGGTGGGAAGTCATCCGTCTTATCGGTTTTCTTCATTTTGTCGCTGCGTCTTTTCCTAGACTTGGCCTGGATGAATCTGTCATTCTGTATTTCATCGTCGGTCGATGTCATGTCAGTTAAATTTTCAAGAGGTCTTTTTAAATTGACAGCCATGTCAGATTTAGAATTAAAATTTGGATTATTGATTAACTGTGTTACCTGGGTGGTCAGACAGTCTATTTTACTGTTTTGGTCCCTAACTGTCTCAGTCAGTTCCTTTATTTTCTGGGCCTGGCTTTCGGTGTAAAAATAAAAAAAAATGTTACCTTGTTTTATAAAGTATCCTCCCGACAAGTATTTCAGTGCGGACCTGTATTTGATCGTGCGCTCTTGGAGCACCGGCATGCCCTCCCCTGTGAGGTCTTAAGTCACCTGATTCACGAGCCCTTTGTACTACATTAACAAAGGCACGAGGGGTTGGTTGCACTCGATTGGGAAACCGATCCGCATAAATACGTGATGCCGCGGCAGCATTTTGTAAAGATGTGCCATTTTTTATTTCGTTTGAGCCACGCAACAAACACCACTATTCACTCACGCGTTACCGACTGACACATTGACTGAATACAACTAAAAACATCGTGATAAGCGTTTCAAATTCTTTCGCTTTTTTGTTTCCGATGCGATGAACCGATAAGGCGGATTATATCGAGCACATAATATTATTATTGAGACAGGGCGGTACTCAAACTTCTAAAGGGCTATAACTTTGTTACTTTAATTTTACCAGAAAAATGTTAAAGGAAAAAAACATTTCTTTTGATCAGATCTACTAACTGTTAAAATAAATGACTCAACTTCGAAGTCACCCTGTATATATATATATATAAAGATTCCGATAGTTAGGTCCTCCACTCAATGGCTTTTTAGAGTCGATAGGTCCTCCGTTGCGCTAGGTCCTCCGTATATGGAGGACCTATCGCAAATTTCACCAGTCGGCCTCCCCTTTGTCACCCGGCAAAATTCCAGAGGGATGACCCAGATCGCGTTTTTTGCTAAATTTGGGTACCGTAGTTCCGGGCTTTGCCGCGCCGATTTGGTGGACTCACAGTCGCGCGGGTATTCAGCCCGTATACTTTCAATCAAGTCTACAGTGGATAGGTCATCTGCCGTGTATTCAGTATCTAGATTGTCGCTTTTAGGTCCTCCTTAATATTGGCATCGCTGTATTAGAATTGTTTTGTAAGAGGATTGCATTTTCATCTTCCTATATCTGCCACGGCCCAGTTCGCCGTCAAGTATTACACACGAGCGGCCGTGACCGGGAGTACCGTAATGCAGCGATGATATTTGTTCGAATGTAATGCTCAAATCCAATATTCTATGGAATAAAATAAAAGATGTTATTTTTGTTTTACGATTTAAGACAGATGCCTTTACTTACCGCGCCTATTGACAGGATTTATTGTAATCAGAGTGGTTAACAAACGAAGAAAAAAATGGTCAAACTTCACTTGCGGATCTTTCAGACATTCCTCGAAGAAAATTTTAGGGCTGTAAATTTTGGTGGCGGGGGTTACGGGCAGCGGAGCTAGTATTAAACAACGACAAAACTAAAAATCGTTTAAAGTATTTCTAAATATTTTAGAGCTTCCTAATCATTTTCCGAATAGGGGGGCTGAGAGAATGAGGTGAATCTGGATTTGGCTAGGTGTTAGTTAAAGGTATTCTATTATCAATAAACCTTCAGATCGACTTCCTGAACATCAATCCCCCGCTTCAGAGATAGTTCTTCTGGGTGATTTCAATGCCTATAATGAGCTTTGGTTGGGCTCAACAATACCGATGCAGCAAGTCGTGCAGTTTAAGAGTTCGCTTTTACTCAAGGGCTGCCCCAGCTGATGACGAGCCCTACTTTTTTCCCCCGCGTCTCGTCACTCCCCAATAGCCTGCTGGACCTCTTTCTGACCACGCATCCTGTCCCTTACAGGACTGCTGTCCTGTCCCCCCTGGGTAACTCAGACCATGGTGTTGTCGAGGTCACAACCCGCTGTGGCAGCAGAAACTCGTACAGGCCGCAAAACTTGGCATTACGTACATGCCGACTGAGAGGGGCTCAGAGACTTCTTCTTCTCCAACTTTCCTTGGAGAGATGTCTGTTTCACTGACACGGATGCGTCGGCTGTCTGTTCTTCGATAACAGAAATTATCCATGTCGGAATGGAGGAATACATCCCTCACACAGTGAAGGTGCCTAAACCAGGGTCCAATGGCTGGTTTAACAAATCGTGTGACACTGCTCGCCAGCAGAAGATCAAGGCACACAGAACCTTCTTACAAAACCCCACTGTAGAGAACAGACTTGATTCCTGCCATTGTACTGAAGAGGTGTGCAGCGCAGCTTGCTCCAGTTCTTTCGTGTCTCTTCCAAATTTCTTATGAATCCGGCACCTTCCTAGAAAACTGGAAATTTGCTCATGTCCAACCCATCCCAAAAAAAAAGGATCTAAGACCGACCCTTATAACTACAGGCCTTTAGCTCTGCTTTCTGTTATAAGTAAGGTGATGGAGAGGTGCATAAATCGCGAGCTTCTGGACTATCTCGAACGTCACAGCTTGATTAGCGACAGGCAGTATGGTTTACGGCACCAATCCACAGGGGACCTCCTAGCTTATGTCAGGCAATTGTGGAGTAAACTCATCCAGTCTTATGGTGAGGCTCATGTCGTTGCTCTTGACAACACGAAAGCGTTCGATCAGCTGTGGCACGCTGCACTCTTAAGCAAACTTCCATCCTATGGCCTCTCAGAAAAGCTGATGGGTGGGTGACTTTATCTCTGGCCGCAAGATATCCGTCGTAATTGACGGGCTCTTCTCTTCATTCGACAACGTCAACGCGGGTGTTCGCCAGGGATCCGCTTGGCTCCAACACTGTTTCTCTTACATATCAGCGACCTCCTTTCCTGCACGATCAACCCAATCCACAGCTTCGCTGATGACAGCACTCGACATGCAGGAATTCAGAGTGACAAGCCGATCTCTGCCGCTGAGCTGGAAGAAAGAAGACTAGCGACGACTTCCTCTCTGACAAGAGACCTGGAGGCTATCACTGCTTGGGGACGCAACAATCTTATACAGTTCATTGCTTCCAAAACACAGTACTGTACTTTGACGAACAAAAAGCGCCCTAGCGCTCATCCGGTTTCGATGGATGGCCGAGTTCTGCCAAAGAGCCATTCATTTCGGCTGGTCGAAATCCAGATCACCGAGGACCTGATCTGGCACGAACACGTTTCGTCAATAGCTGCAGCTGCTGGGCTAAGAAGTACTTTTCTCCGCACGACCTTTTCATTCTATACAAGGCCCGACTGATCGATGACTCTTCTCTAATAGACAGTCTTGGGACTCTTTCGCATCGGCGGGCCGTTGGCGATCTAGCTCTTTTCTACCGCTATATCAACGGGCTTTGCTCCTCAGAGCTCTCTTCCATGATGCCGCCATGACGTGCCTGGCAGACAGACCCGCCTGTCTTTGGTGTCCCATCCTAACCGTGTCGGACTTCGTAGATCCAGAACTGGCCGATACGACCGCTGCTTTGTCCCGAGGGTGTCGAGATTGTGGAACTATCTACAAGAGGAAGCTTTTCCCAGTTCTACTAACCTTAGGCAGTTCAAAAATCGTATTAAAAAAATTTCTTTGGGATCATCATAGCAGCCGCGGTATTACGGCATTTAGGCTTCTGCCTGCGCGGCTGCTTCGATATAAAAAAAACAAAAAAAACCTTTGATATTCGTTATCCTCCGGAATCTTCATACATACATGAGACATCTGAACTCAAAATAGAAAATTAGGATAAGGGCTTTATCTCATTTTATGTCTATAACACGGCTCATCAAAGTATGGCAAATGTAGATTCAAATTACGTAACACGATAAATCAGTTGATTCGTTTTTATGATATGTATGTAAAATACATATATTTTGCTTCGGGAACGACAAGCATGTGGTTATACTAGCGAAGGATACACCCAAAAAATGTCAGTTTAAATTTTAGTTACGAAGGTAATCATACATAACTGAATATATAATCTTGAAAAAATAAAACCACTAATACCAGAACAGAAGATTTGGGATCTACCACACTAAAGATTCAGAAAATATAGTGACATTCGGCAGCTCTAATTTGAAATTACCTCATTTTTCAAGCAACAACGGTTTTACAATGAGATGAAGGGAATTCTGTTTATAAACGTAAATTTTATCACAAAAGTATGACAATGTTCGCACTTAACAAAATAATTGTCATTAAAATTCAAAAATTCGTTGAGTCATGAAATCAGCTTTTCAACCCGTAAATAACAGTTTATTCCATAATTCATTATTTTCGAATTGCTTTCCACAGAAAAATTTCTCAACGTTTGGGAAAGTTAGAAATCTGATGGTACTAGATCAGGGTTGTATAGCGCATTTTCGGGTAAGTGGATTAGTTCAGAATGCCATACCATACAGCCCTAACAAAGCACCAATCGACATTTTCTCTTTATTTTATCTTTAACAAAAAAGTATAAACATTCACCCAAATTTATTTGCTGCCTTTATCGCTCTCCCTCGAACCATAACTGGGATGACCTACTCGAATACCTCGCCGACTAGATCGACTTCCTGAACATCAATCACCCCGCTTCAGAGGTAGTTCTTCTCGGTGATTTCAATGCCCATAATGAGCTTTGGTTGGGCTCAAATAAGACCGATGCAGCAGGTCGTCGTTCGCTCTTACTCAAGGGCTGACCCAGCTGATGACGAGCC